CCGGAAGTTTCCTAGATCGAGATCCAGCAATGAATATTTGGGAGCCTTCCCAGTCTGGTCACCCTCAAATAGCCGTTGCTCCAAGCCTGCAACCATTTCTTTTAACACAAATAGTTAGTCCGGTTAAGTAGCCATTTTCACTCCTATCAATTTAGATCACATTTTAAATATGAGTACCTGTGAGGAATTCTTTCCGTAATGCCCCTGTATCAATTCCTGCTTCTCCGATGAATGTGACCCTCAGCTGATTTGTAGGCAATGCCTTTTTTTGCCTCTTCCACTGTGCAAGTCCCCGCTCCACCATATTGGATCTTGAGACAGTGATACGGAATTCTTCCTCTGTATTCACAGCAGTACTTATGGCCTGCAGGATTTCATCTAGGCTAATGGAGAAAAACTCGCAATTACAAACATGATACTGGAAACCATGTTATGTGTATTCATGTGTATTCGTTAATGTCTTTTAGGTTTTCAAACTGAATTGTGTCACCACTAGCAGTATGTGACTTTGACCTAACAGAAGAAGAAAATGCAGTGGACAGGCTAAGCCTTTAGGTAGCTGGATTCCTTTACACAAAGGGTACTTGGCAGAAATTGTTTGAAAACCACTGTACAGAGCATTGAAGAAAGACTACTGATGTGTACAAACCTAGAAATGCCCATCCTTTGTTGTGAAGGTAGGTTTGCATTGCTGTAATGAAAAAATGCCAGAGTAAAAACCACATCACTTGACCTCAAACATGTACTGTACAAAAGCAACAAATAAAACAATACCTTTAAAACTTAAAAACTTAAAAGAGAATGTGGAGCAGGGAAATTATTTTACTGCTATTGGTAAATAATCATCATCATTACCATTGCATTAATAATATAATTTACAGTATTGATATTGCATTCAGAGGTTTAAACAGTGTGTGTGTCTTTCAGAAAGACTAAGTTGCAGGCTGACAGGAAGTTGCAGAGAGTTTGCAGAAGTGAAAGCAGAGTGTAAGTTATTCTGAGGAGCAGGTTAGACGAGGCTATTTGAATTACTAGGTTATTCAAATTGTCTGTTATACTTTTATATTCTTTTATTAAGCTTTTAGTAGAGGTTCTTGATTAAAACATTTATTCAACATAGTACATATAGTTTCAGTTAGGTTATTACACATAAGGATGA